CGGTTTGGACCCTTTGTACTGGTCTAGCATTTAAAAATCAAAAATCAAAGTTTTCCAGAAAAACGCTATTACGCAGTCTAGAATGCGGTCGCAAATCAAGTATGCGGACCGCATTTCTGCCACAAAGTGAGTTGGTGTGTTAGTCAAATATGAGGTCAAAAATGCAGTACATTATGCGACCGCATAACGGGTATGCGGACCACATTTCTGCCGCAAACCCAAGCAGAATGTTCAGAGTTTTGGAGCACTTTTGCGGTCCATTTTGCGGACCACATTTCCACTCTGCGATCGCAAAGCTAACTCGGGCTCCTATCTTTCTAAATTTTAAACCCGACCCCTTCTTCAATAAAATACCCAACCCATTATTTTAATATAATTTCTGAACAAAACTAGAGAGAGGGAAGAGAGAATTCTTGAGAGAAAAAGTCCTACCTTCATCAATTTGATTCTTCAAAGTCACTCGGACCGGGAAATTTCAAGTAATTGTGTTCATTTCCGTTCTAGCAGGTAAAATCCCCAACCCTTTTTCATTGTTTTCAAATTTAAACAAAAAAGGGGATTCTCATGCATTGATTCTTGAAAATGGAAGTTGAAATACATATGCATGTCCTTTAAAACCTAAAATCTAGTAAGAGGAAGTGGGTAGAAGTAAAGATTTGCAGAAGAGGGGTTGATAACCTAAGGAAGTTCGGGTTGAGTTTGTGAACTTCAATTCTAAGTTATATGTGTTAACTTGTGAACTAGATTGACGATACTAGGTTGTTGGTGAATTGAAAGTAGAAGTTAAAAAGGGAATTCGACTCCATGTATGTATGGCTAACTTTAACCTGTGTAAAGTCACCTTGTTTGGTGTACGAGTAATTGTTATGTGTTACTTATGTGGACCATTTGTGAATTCTTGTGATTAATATGCCTTGAACGTTGTTGGTTAAGTTTCCTAATATAATGGTGTAAGTAAATGGCAACAAGCCAAGTGTGTGTGTGTGAAGGTGCTTATGTGGTAAGAGCTGTGTAACACATGATGGAAAGAAATCGTAATTGGTGCAATTGAAACAATTGTGGTAATATCATACGTCACTTGTCGCGGGCAATTATCGTTGTGACTTAAATTGTATACGGTCTATTGCCTATGATGGAAACGGTATTGATATTTATGAAAATTCTTTGTGAATTGTTATTGTTGTCGTGTGAAATGTGATTGTCCGGTAGAATCGGGTTGCGCGCCGCAACATGAAGTTATAACGTGTGGGTTGTGGTGATAAGGGTGACCGAGGTAATATGGGTGGAAAGTGATCGAAATCACTATTGAAATGAAAATATGTGAAAGGTGAGAAATCACTGATGTGATGAAATAATGTTGAAAGGGGGAAAAGAGAGATTATGAAACCTGATTGGCTTTGGTTGTTCCTTTTAGGTGAATTTGATTGTTGATTTTATTACTGTTTGTTATCTGTGTATTTCTTGATTTTACTCTGGGTAAAGTTTGTTCATACATACCAGTACAATTCAAATGTACTAACGTCCCTTTTGCCGGGGGTGCTACATTCATGTTATAATTGTAGGTGGTTACATAGCAGGTACTCCAGTCCACCGACAGTAGAACCTCCTCCACTTTCCGTCAGCTGTATTTTTTATCCCCTTTTTTTTCCTCTCGGGGCCCTATGTGGCTCCTGTCGCTTTTCCTCCCGGAGTCTTATTTTGGTATTTGTGTAAGGTATAGCCGGAGCCTTGTTACAGGCAAGTATTATAACACTCTTTTGTATCCCTAGAGGATTCGTAGACAGGAAATATAGGTTATGTACTTATGTATTTTGGGCAGTATAACTTGTAAACCACGCTAAGTAACTATGTATGTTCTGTAAATCTCGTAAGAGTGTGCTTAAATTTATAAATGGCTATTTCACTTGGTTAATGGGTAATGGAAACGCAGGGTAACACGTGGAATAGGGAAGGCACCCAGGTCTGCTTGGCTGGGGCTACTCGGTCAAGCGCCGGTCATGTCCCTCGGTTTTGGGGCGTGACAAACTTGGTATTAGAACCTAAGGTTTTAAAGTGTCCTAGGATGTCTCGGAGCCATGTCTAGTAAAGTCCTTCTTATTGGTGTGTTGTTGACCACATCTATAAGTTGGAGGCTACATGGACATTTAGGAATGTTACCCTTCTTCAACACTCCAGATCGTGCGATAAAGCTTTACTATAAGATTGTCTTCTAACTCATGCGTTGAGATTCAAGGTAAATTTATATGCTCTTTCGTCTATTTCAAGTAATGTTGTCATATGGAATGACCAATGGGAAAAGGCCTGAATATTAAGGAGATGACATATGTATCATGTTGAACGAATGGTACAACTATATGAGGTACGTACATAGTACCAGAATCATACTTTATTCGAGGAAGTGTTAAAAATGATTGTGACCTCCAAAGAATCATTGAATTGATAAGTGTTATATAAGCTTGAATAGCACATGTGGGTAGTGTGAGAAGTATGTAAATGATCCTAAGGTGTGAAAGAAAACTGGTTATATAAGCACGTGATATATGGGAGACATGACCAGGAGATTAATGATGAGAGTACAAGTCTCTCCTAGGAGACAAGAAGTTATGAAATGACAGTCAATTGAACCCATAATGAGAAGACCCTTATGCTACGAATGTTATAAGAACCCCATAAGTGTATGAAGTTTTGTTACACTCCTAAAGGATATTGGTATGAGGAATTGGAATCCCAAGCTCGTGTGGCTGAATAAGAGCAAAGGACTTATGAGGTTAATACCATTGTGACCTCAATCTCCCTAATAGTCGAACATATATGTGAGGGGTAGAGAAATGAAACATATGTCCATGAAGTTGCTAAATTCAAGACTTGTGTCAAAATCCGGGACATTCGCCCTAAGTGGGGGAGGAAGGTCCATAGCAAGGCCACTTAAATACAATGAAACAAGAGTAAGACCATGTAGCTTTGATGTTTGAATATTTTTGTTGAAGATAAGCGTAGTCTAGAAAAGTGATAATGGATAATGTGATTATCTGAAAGGATATGCTAATGATAGACCACTAGTACCTCCAAAAAGGTGGAAGGTTAAGGAAGGTAAATTCTTCATACATGGCAATGTGAATGATAGGGTCAACGATCCTAGAAACTAAGAGTAGGTTTGTAAAGGGGTTCTATACTTGTTAGAGGGCTTGGGACAATGCATCCCAAGGAAGTACTATAGATCAAAGGTCAAAGTTTTGCGAGATTTTAGAATGGGTTAATCATGAAATTGCGATTCAACTAAAGTTCCAAAACGTTAAGAAAGGCGGAACGAGTGGGAGAAATAAATGTGATGTTATAATAACCCAAGAGGGTATTTGGGCTTGATGGAAACCTTACAAGCAAATAAGTGTTAAGTGATATGTGGATAAACACACTTTCCCACAGATATCCTCACAAGAGTTAAGAGGTGAGCATGATGAAATAACTAAAGGAAAAGACCACGTAGAATATGGAAGAGTGCATGGCTATTCGTTAGCTAGGATGACTGAGGTGATATGAAATGGGGAGAAAATCTATAAATTGAGATGTCCATGGTTATCACAAAATAGTTCATATCAGAATGGTGGACTGGCCTGAAGCACAAGTGTTAATAGAAGGTATAAAGGACTAACTGTAATGCTACCGACTTGGGTGACACTGAATGGTAACTAAAGGAGCTAGAGATAGTTCATGTCTACATATAATGGAAAGTGAGACTACTGGTGGTGAAGTTGTAATATGATAAACTCATTAAACTAGGCACAATGATATTACAAGTTCACGGGAGGTAGAAAAGTGTGTGGCAAAATAAGGCTATAATTATGCACTATGAGCAAAATAGAATGGGAATGAATATTCCAGTTAGAAAGAAAAGAAGGTACCAATATATTGTTCGGGCCAGTGGCGCTTTCTGAATTGAATATGTATGAAGGGTGTTGATATGCGTTTTGGGTGGTGTTGAACAGTAAAGAGAGATCATAAAAATGTTCACAAGGGAAAGTGGAGTGGTTTCTTAAATCCTATAAGGCACAAAGGAGGAAATAGGTTAACCAGGAAAGGTCTGAGCACAAGGTTACATTACATTTGATGCAATGTCGTGCATGTTGATAATATTAAGGTATGTCCGTAGGCTAGAAGATGTTATTCCTTTGACATAGAAGGTTTTATAAGAAAACTCATCCAGTAATGTCTTCTGTTGAGAATTTGGAAGAGCAAGTTGCAAGTACTCACATAAGATTGTAACCCTATCAAGAAAATTATTGAAGAACTCAAATACTAGGAGGTCATATGCAAGATAAATGTGATATAGATGGTTCACTATTGATGGAACATGGCCAGGTGATCACTTGTGCCTCTAGGCAACCCAAGAATCATGAAAAGAACTATCCAGCACATGACTTAGAACTTGTGGAGGTAGTTTTTGTATAAAGATTTGGTGAATATTTTGTGTATGGGGTCCACATTGATGTATTTATGAACCACAAGAGCCTTCAATATATTTTTAAACAAAAGGAGTTGAATCTGAAACATAGAGGATGGTTTGGGCTACTTAAGGACTATGATATTGAGATTCTCTATCACCCGGGAAAGGCCAATGTTGTGGCGGATGCTCTTAGATGGAAATCTATGGGTAGTTAGCTCACTTGGAGATATATCAAAGGCCGTTGTCCAGGGAGGTTCACTATTTGGCTAGTCTAGGAGTTCATCTTGTGGACTCTAGCGCAGGGGGAGTAATTGTGTAGAATAAGGCTGAATCATCGCTTGTAGCGGAGGTCAAAGAAAAGCAATACAACAATCCATTGTTAGCACAACTGTAGGAGGGGATTCATAAACACAAGACCATATCCTTTTATTTTGGCATTGATGATTGCACCCTACGGTGCCAAGGGCACCTATGTGTTCCATATATTAACGGTCTTCGGGAAAGGATTTTGGCTGAATCTTACACTTCTATGTATTCCGTACACCCAAGTTCTACAAAAATGTATCATGATCTCAAAGAAGTTTATCGGTGGGATAACAGGAAAAGGGATGTGGCAAACTTTGTGGCAAAATGTCTGAACTGTCAACAAGTGAAGGTCAAACATCAAAGGCTTGGAGGATTGTTACAAAGCATTGAAATTCCAATATGGAAATGGGAAATGATCAATATGTATTTTGTGGTAGTGTGGTCGCGCACTCTGCGCAAGTTTGACTCAATTTGGGTGATTGTGGATCGACTCACAAAATCAGCTCACTTTTTGCCAGTCAAGTCTACCGATACTGTAGAATAGTATGCTCAGTTGTACATCAAGGAAGTAGTAAGACTTCATGGCACTCTAGTTTCTATTATCTCGGATCGAGGGGCTCGGTTCACAGCAAACTTTTGGAGAAAATTTCAGCAAGGTTTGGGTACTCAAGTAAATCTAAGTACGGCTTTCCATCCGTAGACTGACGGTCAGGCAGAGCGGACTATTCAGACACTTGAAGATATGTTGCGAGCTTGTGTTATAGCTTCTGAAGGTAGTTGGGATGACCATTTGCTGTTTGTCGAGTTTGCATACAATAATAGCTTTCACGCTAGTATTCAGATGCCCCCATTTGAGGTATTGTATAGAAGGAGGCGTAGATCACCGATTGGGTGGTTCGAGGTTGGTGAAGCAGAACTGTTAGGGCCAGATCTTGTGCATCAGGCTATGGAAAAAGTTAAAGTCATTCAGGAGAGGATGAAAACTTCTCAAAGTCATTAGAAATCCTATGCAGACGTGCGTCAAAGAGAATTGGAATTCCAAGTAGATGATTGTGTGTTCTTGAAAGTATCTCCCATGAAGGGGGTCATGCGATTTGGGAAGAAAGGGAAATTGAGACCAAGGTATGTCAGGCCATATCGAATCGCTCAAAGGATAGGACATGTGGCTTATAGGCTGGAATTGCCCCTTGAGATGTCATTAGTGCACCCGGTGTTCCATGTGTCTATGTTGAAGAAAGTGGTTGGAGATCCATCCTCCATCGTGCCTATTGAGACTATTGAGGTAAGTGAAGACTTATCGTATGAAGAGGTCCCGATTTCTATTCTTGATAGGCAAGCCCAAAAATTGAGGAGCAAGGAAATTGCTTCAGTTAAAATATTGTGGCGAAGTCAACAAGTCGAGGAAGCCACGTGGGAAGCGGAAAAAAAATTTGAAAGAGAAATATCCCCATATGTTCGAACAAGTCAAGTAGTGATCGTGTGAACGGTTGTCTTTAAGCAATTTGAGGTAGTGTTCAGATTTGTGCAAAGGCACCCCATTTTCCCCAAATTGCCTTATTGTTGTAACTTCCCAATGTGTGCCAAATTGCAAATGTTGTTTCTATTTGGGTAATGTGCAACCCTTGAAGTAAATGAAAATTTTGTGAAACTTATGTGATAGGTAAATGATTAATGATAGTGTAGATTGGTAATGATTAATTAAAGCATTTCTGGCATGTTAAAGTTATTGAATTGTATGGGGCTCATTGAAGTGACCCAGTTATGTGCAAGTAAACGACATTGGTTGAACCATGTGCAATATGCAGTGTAAAGAGAATGAGCTACGTGTAAGTTGTTAAAAGTGTATGAATATGTACAGGTTGCTGAGGTAATTAATTGTATACCGGTTGTAGGGATAACAGAAACTGTGTAATGGTGCTTGGAAATATGTTTCGGGGGCTCTCCGACAGGTAGATAAGTCTAATTACAAAGGAAACTCTGGCAAAAATTTTCTAAGGATATAAGAGTTAGTGAAAATTTTGGAGTTTGCATTTCGTGTTTTCAAAACCAACTAATTTTTTTCCCCAAAATCCTCATTTGAGGACGAATGATTTTATGTGGGGGAGGATGTAAGGCCCCGTGAAAACTTGTACTCAAAACCTAGTAGCTCGTAGTGCCAAGTCCCGAATATGTGTACATCCGCTTCTTAAAAGAGTATGAGGACATTTTCGCATGGTCATATGATGACATGACCGGTTTGCGCACGTCCATAGTGGCTCACAAGTTGCCAACTAATCCCATATGTCCGCCAGTGAAGAAGAAACTCAGAAAGTTCAAACCAGATATGAGCCTGAAAATCAAGGAGGAAGTTACTAAGCAGATCAAAGCCATAGTCCTCAGGGTTGTTGACTACCCAACCTGGTTAACTAACATTGTGCCAGTACCGAAGAAAGATAGGAAAGTTAGAGTATATGTCGACTATCGAGATTTAAACAGAGCTAGTCCCAAGGACGACTTCACACTGCCAAATATACACATCATGATCGACAATTGTGCCAAGCATGAACTACAATCCTTTGTAGATTGCTTTGCAGGTTATCAACAGATCTGGATGGATGAAGAAGACGCGGAGAAAACCGCTTTTATTACACCTTGGGGGGTATACTACAACAAGATGATGTCATTTGGTCTAAAGAATGATGGGGCTACTTACATGATAGCCATGACAACCATCTTCCAAGATATGATACACAATGAAATAGAGGTTTATCTGTAAGGCCTCGTGAAAAATTGTACTCAAAACCTAGTAGCTCGTAGTGCCAAGTCTCGAATATGTGTTAGGAATGTGTAAAATTCTTCGCTCAAAAACTAGTAGCTCGCCGCGGTTTGGACCCTTTGTACTGGTCTAGCATTTAAAAATCAAGGATCAAAGTTTTCCTGAAAAGTGCTAATACGCGGTCCAGAATGCGGTTGCAAATCAAGTATGCGGACCCATTTCTGCCACAAAGTGAGTTGGTGTGTTAGTCAAATATGAGGTAAAAATGCAGTGCATTATGCGACCGCATAAAGGGTATGCGGACCGCATTTCTGCCGCAAACCCAAGCAGAATGTTCAGATTTTGGAGCACTTTTGCGGTCCATTTTGCGGACCGCATTTCCACTCTGTGATCACAAAGCTGACTCGAGCTCCTATTTTTCTAAATTTTAAACCCAACCCCTTCTTCAATAAAACACCCCAACCCCTTATTTTAATATATTTTCTTAACAAAACTAGAGAGAGGGAAGAGAGAATTTTTGAAAGATAGAGTCCTACCTTCATCAATTTGATTCTTCAAAATCACTCAGGTTGGGAAATTTTAAGTAATTGTCTTCATCTCCGTTATTGCAGGTAAAATCCCCAACCCTTTTTCATTTGTTTTTAGATTTAAACAAAAAGGGGGATTCTCATGCATTGATTCTTGAAAATGGAAGTTGAAATACACATGCATGTCCTTTAAAACCTAAAATATAGTAAGGGGAAGTGGGTAGAAGTAAATATTTGCAGAAGAGGGGTTGATAACCTAAGTAAGTTTGGGTTGAGTTTGTGAACTTCAATTCTAAGTTATATGTGTTAACTTGTGAACTAGATTGACGGTACTAGGCTGTTGGTGAATTGAAAGTAGAAGTTAAAAAGGGAATTCGACTCCAGGTATATATGGCTAACTTTAACCTGTGTAAAGTCACCTTGTTTGGTGTACGAGTAATTGGTATGTGTTACTTATGTGGACCATTTGTGAATTCTTGTGATTAATATGCCTTGAACGTTGTTGGTTAAGTTTCCTGATATAATGGTGTAAGTAAATGGCAACAAGCCAAGTGTGTGTGTGTGAAGGTGCTTACGTGGTAAGAGCTGTGTAACAAATGATGGAAAGAAATCGTAATTGGTGCAATTGAAACAATTGTGGTAATATCATACGTGACTTGTCGCTGGCAATTATCGTTGTGACTTAAATTGTATATGGTCTATTGCCTATGATGGAAATGGTATTGATGTTTATAAAAATTCTTTGTGAATTGTTGTTGTTGTTGTGTGAAATGTTATTGTCCGGTGGGATTGGGATTGAGTTGCGCACCGCAAGACAAAGTTATAAGGTGTGGGTTGTGGTGATAAGGGTGGCCGAGGTAATAAGGGTGGCCGAGGTAATAAGGGTGGAAAAGTGATCGAAATCGCTATTGAAATGAAAATATGTGAAAGTTGTGAAATCATTGATGTGATGAAATAATGTTGGAAGGGGAAAATGAGAGATTGTGAAATCTGTTTGGCTTTGGTTGTTCCTTTCAAGTGCATTTGATTGTTGATTCTATTACTGTTTGTTATCTGTGTATTTCTTGATTTTACTTTGGGTAAAGTTTGTTCATACATACCAGTACAATTCAAATGTACTGACGTCCCTTTTGCCGGGGGCGCTACATTCATGTTATGATTGTAGGTGGTTCCATAGAAGGTACTCCAGTCCACCGACAGTAGCACCTCCTCCACTTTCTGTCAGCTGTATTGGTGAGCCCCTTTTTTCCTCTCGAGGCCCTGCGTGGCTCCTGCCACTTTTTCTCCCGGAGTCTTATTTTGGTATTTGCGTAAGGTATAGACGGAGCCTTGTTACCTGCAAGTATTATAACACTCTTTTGTATCCCTAGAGGCTCCATAGACATGAAATGTGGGTTATGTACTTATGTATTTTGGGCAGTATAACTTGTAAACCACGCTAAGTAACTATATATGTTAAGTAAATCTCGTAAGAGTGTGTTTAAATTTATAAATGGCTATTTCACTTGGTTAATGGGTAATGGAAACACGGGGTAACACGTGGAATAGGGAAGGCACCCAAGTCCGCTGGCTGGGGCTACCCGGTCGAGCGCCTGTCAGGTCCCTCGGTTTTGGGGCGTGACATTATGTGAATGATGTCATTATCGAATCCAGGAGGGCCACAGATCACATAGCAGACTTGAGAAAGTTCTTTGACAAGTTAAGAAGGTACAACTTGAAACTAAACCCCGCAAAGTGTGCATTCGGGGTCCCCACAGGAAAATTACAGGGATTCATTGTCAGTCGTCAAGGGATTGAGATGGATCCGTTTAAAGTTAAAGCTATTCAGGAATTGCCACCACCTAGGAGCAAAAACAAAGTTATTAGCTTCCTATGACATCTCAACTATATTAGTCACTTCATAGCACAGTCCATAGTCATATGTTAACTCATCTTCAAGATGCTAAGGAAAGATGCTGAGACAAGCTAGACCGAGGATTGTCAGAAAGTTTTTGACAAGATCAAGGAGTACCTATGCACACCACCAGTTTGGTCCCACCAGAACCAGGACGGCCTTTGCTACTCTATCTATCTGTATTGGATAGAGCCTTCAGATGTGTTTTGAGACAACATGACGAAACAGGGAGGAAGGAGCAAGCCATATACTAACTAAGTAAGAAATTCACACCTTATGAAGCACGATACTCTCTGCTAGAGCGCACTTGCTGTGCTTTGACCTGGACAACCCAGAAGTTGAGGCATTACTTCTGTGCCTATACTACATACCTCATATCTCGGATGGACCCTTTGAAGTACATATTTCAGAAACCCATGCCAACTGGGAAGCTAGCCAAGTGGCAGATACTGTTGAGTGAGTTTGATATCATCTACGTAACTCAAAAGGCAGTCAAAGGACAAGCATTGATAGATGATCTTGCTGAAAACCTAGTAGGAGGAGAATACCAACCCTTAAAACGTATTTTCCTAATGAAGAAGTGTCATTTGTAGGAGAAGACATTACCGAAGCATACGATGGTTGGAAGATGTTCTTTAACGGAGCTGCACATTACGAAGGAGGGGGCATTGCAGCAGTTTTGGTATCAAAAGTAGGTCAACATTATCCGGTATCTTCCAAACTCAGGTTTCCCTGCACCAACAACATGGCAGAATATGAAGCTTGCATACTAGGACTCAACATGGCAATCGACATGAATATTCAAGAGTTGCTGGTAATTGGTG